TGCTGGGTGCTGGGCCTGGTTTTGGCTCAGGGTTGACTTGGCATATACTTCAGAGATTGTGTTCCCTTCCCAGGGGCTTCTACACCTATTGCCTTCCTTCCTTCCTTCCTTCCTTCCTTCCTTCCTTCCTTCCTTCCTGCCATGTTTTATTATTATTTTTTTTTTGAGCCCCAGCTGTCCTGGAACTCACTATGTAGACCAGGCTGGCCTTGAACTCACAGAGATCCGCCTGCCTCTGCCTCCCAAGTGCTGGGACTACAGGCCTGCCGCCACCATGCCCCGCCAGTCCTCAACTTTTTAAACTCCCCTGCGATTACAGTCCTATCCAGCCCAGTAAGCTGGGCATCAAACATCTCCTCTCATGCCCAGTTTCCTCAGCAGTGCCTGTCCTTCCTCTGTTGTTTTCCAGTCCCTGATACTCATGGGGACCTCAGTTAGTGACAACCAAGTGTCCCAAACGTCCACCGGGATGATCTCCCTCTGTTTCCTCAGCTCATGCGGCCTTTGTCTCAGGAGCAATGGTAGTTCTGTTCTCAGCATTTCTACCTCTGCAGCACACAGACTGCTTCCACGCACCCCCATCCACAGCCAGGCTATGAGGGACTCTTTCATTTCTTGTTGAAAAGTCTTTCCCAGCCGGGCGTGGTGGCGCATGCCTGTAGTCCCAGCATTTGGGAGGCAGAGGCAGGCGGATCTCTGTGAGTTCAAGGCCAGCCTGGTCTACATAGTGAGTTCCAGGACAGCTGGGGCTACAGGGAGACCCTGTCTCAAAAAGAAGAAGAAAAAAACAGTCTTTCCCAATTCAAGCAGTTCAGAAGCAGGGCAGCCCCTCTGTTATCACAGCTTCCCGTACTGGGCAATTATTAAGGCCTTCATCTGCATGTTAAATCTTGGATTTCTCCCTCCTCTGTAGTAAAGGTTAGACTGGAGGGCTCTCTGTCACCTCTGCCTCACTCTCTGCTTCACTGTCTGATTCTTCCCACCGATTCAAAGTCTTCCGGTCCTGGGAAGAGCTCTTTAGCACAGATCTAATTTGTACTCTCTGGGTGGATGTGTCCTGCCATGTGTAAGAAACAGCTACCGAGCACCTCTGTCTCATCCTTCCTTTTCTCCACTTTTCATGGCTACTCACAGGAAAATGCGTAGGATAGGATCTACATGTCTCTTTCTCAATGTAATTTCTTGGGTTTTTTTTTTTTTTTTGGTTTGGTTTTTGTTTTCAAGTGTATCATAGGTTGGCCTCAAACTTGTGGCAGTCCTCCTGCCTCAGCCTCCTGAGTGTTAGGATTATAAACATGAGCCACCATAACCAGTTAGTGCATTCAATTTTAAGCAGCAAAGTTTTTTTTTTTTTTTCTTGGTCTTTTTGAGACAGAGTCTCCCTGCAGCCCCAGATGGCTTGGAACTTACTATGTAGACCAGGCTGGCCTTGAACTCACAGAGATCCGCCTGCCTGTGCCTCCCAAGTGCTGGGATTAAAGGCGTGCACCACCATGCCCGCCCCGCCCATTTTAAAATTTTATATGTATGAGTGTTTTGTGTGCATGTATGTAAGTGCACCTGTGTGGTGCAATGCCCACAAAGGCCAGAAGAGGATGTTGGATCCTCTGGAACTGGAGTTAAGGACAGTTGTTAGCCACCATGTGGGTGCTGGGAATGGAACCTGGGTCTTTTGCAAGAGCAGCCAGTGCTCTTAACCACTGAGCCATCTCTCCAGTCCTAGAAGTAGTCTTTTTGATCAAGCTTTGAACAGACAACAGCTATGCTCCTGGCATGCAGCATGAGGAGACTCCAGACCCCACCTATAGAGAGATGTGTAGCACTTGGCTCTAAACACAGAATGCCTGGAGTGTGGTCTGTGTGCGGACAGGCCACACATGGTGTACAAGTCCCTTTGTCCTTGTTTCTCTATGTGGCTAGAGAAGAATGGAAGATAGCAGAGAGTTGCCAGTCTACAAGCTGGGCTTTTAGGAGTGGATCCTTATGATCAGCCTCCTGTGATGTGCTGCTGTCCGTGCTGAGGGTGAACCATAGGTTACACCTCTAGGCAGGAGGTGAAGGAAAGGTTCATAAAGTGACACTGTGGACACTACTGGGGTAGACAGATGGCCAAAGCAGAGTCAGCATGTTGCTGATAAAGGCAGTGAGGTACCCTGGGAGGAGCTTTCACAGTGTTAGTAGTGGTGGTAACAGTGGTGGTCACTGCATGGGGCTATGTTGGGCCATAAAGAGAAAGCAGACCAACAGAGATTGTGAGGCTAGCGAGACAGCCGTGATAGAGTGAGCAGGTGAGTAGTAGCATGCACAGTGCTTGGGGCCATGGAGAAAGGCCCACATGATATAGCTACCTGTATGGCTGACTGTGGTTTGTCCTGGAGGGAAGGCAGCAACAGTGGATGCTTGGTGTGGTCGTGGGAGGCTCACCTGGGGTGGTGCTATGGAGCGGGTGATCTTGTGCAGGTGGTTCTGTGGTGGTGGCCCTACCAGCCTGGGATAGCAATTGTAGGGATGATAGCAATAGAGCTGTAGTCTGAATTCAGATGCTGAACCTAAACCCCAATGTGACAGTATACGGGGGTGGAGTTTTCAGGAGCTGACCAAAGAGGTGGAGCCCTGTGGCTGGGATTAGGGCCTTTGCTCTGGAAACTGTTATTGACTACGTCAATGCTGTTGTAATGAAATGCTTGTACTAATTATGTGGTTATTAAATAAATTTTTAAAAAAATTTTAAAAAAAGAAGAAAGGGGAGGGGAGACGGCACTGCTAGTAAAATGCTTACCATGTAAGTATGAGGACCTGAGTTTTGATCCCCAATAACCACATGAAATGGCAAGTGTGGAAGTGCATGCTCCTAGTCCCATTATTGAGGAGACACATGCAGGAGGATTCCTGGGGCTTGCTGGCCACCCAGTTGCCATGCTTTGGTGAGCTCCAGGTTTAGTGAGAGACTCTGACTCACCAAAATAATATGGAGAGCAGTAGAGGACACATTGACCTCTGGCCTCCACATGCTTGTTCACACACGTGTACACACACCTGCACACACATATGCACAGACACACAGGAACACATACTTATACCCCCTAGCTCCACAGCACATTCATATAGACACACAAAAGTAAAACAAAAAGGAAAGGTTTAGTTTGGGCTGATGGTTTTAGTTGCTTTGGGCCTGTGGTGGGTGACGCAGCGCATCATGGCAGGAGCCTATGGTTGATGTTGCTCACTCCATGGTGACCAGGAAGAGGAGAGAGAGGAGAGAGGAGAGAGGAGAGAGAGAGAGAGAGAGATGAGAGAGAGAGAGAGAGAGAGAGAGAGAGAGAGAGAGAGAGAGAATTATTCCAGTACCACAGGCTGAGGCCCGCAAGCCTTCAATATATGGGCCTTTGGGAGACTTGCAAGATCTAAACTGCAGCACTCAGTCTGTGGTATTTCATTCTAATAGCATACATGGGAGAAGGCAAAGCCGAACATCCCAGGACACCTGCTTCTTGGGCTTCTTGTGTGGACCATCTCTCCACCTTGGGGAAATCCTAGCCTGGTCACTGCAGGTCCTCCCCTTCCTCAGCCTTGGAAAATCATACCCTACTCCCACCTCACAAGGCTTGGGTGGCTGGCAGATTCTCACTGGATGGAGACAGCTTGGCCAACAGGGCGGAGGCCTGTAACTGTCAACATGCACATTAGAGTGCCAGGAGAGGGAAGGGGTAGAATTTAGGGGTGAGGTGGGGGGATTCTAGGTTGTTCCTCATGTAGGGGTTGGGAACTGAAGGACTTGGTTCCTGGAACCTGCAAGAGTTCAGAAGCTTTTTACTTTATTTTTAATTTTTTGAGACAGGGATATAGCCTGGAGTGCTGAGATTAAAGAGTGTTCTACCACGCCAGGCTCCAGAAGCCTTTAAGGGAAGCTGTTGCATGTAAAAGAGGTCTCCCTGTCAGTGGTTCAGGGCTCACATCCTCTTCTATGCCAGGAAGACTCCTTGTTTACAAGATATCTAAGAATGCCTCATGTGAGGTGGTTTGTGCAGGCCTTAGGCCCAGAGAGCAGATGTTGGAACTTATAACTGTTGTCACTTGGTGGCCATGTAATTGCTGATTTCTAACATGGGCCACAGCTCTCAGCCCCTGGGCTCCATGTAGGTGGTTGATGTGTCTGCCCTGGGCTGGACTGGAACTCACTATGTAGCCCACTATTAACTTGCAGCAATCCTCTCGCTTTAGCCTGCACCGTGCTGGGATTACAGGTATAGCCACCATGCCCCGATCTTTTTAAAGTCTGATTGACTTTTCAATACTTAAGAATTTAGAGACTTCAAATATGGGCAGTTTTCTCCAGCCTCTGGAGCTCAGGGTTAAGGAGAAATCTCTAGTGGTATTGCCCAAGCTTTTTTGGGTGGACCCCAGGTTGTCTGAGTCCCATTTCCCACCACTCCCTACTGTCTTCTCTCTTGAGCTTCTGGATCATGGCCTTTCCTGCTCTCTGTGGGTTAGTGCCCTGTGGTACACTCTGCTCTCTTGGCCTTCCTGGTAGAGCCCCTGACCCACAGGCCCACCCTGGCTGCTACAGTTCTTAGTTCATAGGGCATTGTGGAACTACATGCAGTCCTTGGAAGGAGAGAATTGTCCAGGAGAAGAATCTGCTGACTATTACTTGGGGCAGGATGGAACCCAGAGTTTGGGGTCTGCTGGTGTCAGAACTTGATGGGGAATAATTTTCTGCTTTGCACTGATGAGAGCCAGTCCCAGGTCCTGGCTCATGATATTCAGAGATTATGGAATTGGGGTGACTGGGTGGGAAGCTTCAGGAAGAGAGAAACCCCTACTAATACCAGGTTAAGACATAATGAACCCAGGTTTCTAGAAGGAGCCAGACTCAGGAAAATTAGTATTTTAAGCTCACACAAAATGGCTATGGGTTTATTGTAGGCTTTAAAAAATTACACTTATTTATGTGTGTGTGTGTGTGTGTGTGTGTGTGTGTGTGTGTGTGTCTGTGTCTGCGTCTGTGTGTGTGCATGCATGGCATTCTTGTGGAGGTCAGAGGACAACTTGAGGGATTCAGTTCTCTCCTTCCACCATGTGGTGCTAGGGATCAAACTCAGGTCTTCAGAGTGGGCAGCGTCTTTACCCACTATGCTATCTCACCAACCCCTCCTGTGTGCTTTTGATAGCATGGGCTGACTGGGGCTGGTGGGTCGGGAGAGCTGCCTTAGGTCTAGACTACTGGCCCAGGATCATTCTGTGCCTAGGCTCAGTTCAGGGGCTCTGTACAGGTACTCAGTAGGCCAGCCAGCAGAGCCAGGCCCAGCACAGCTATGGCTACTAGTGCTATATCCCACCAGACCCCTGGATAGGCCCAGGATGGTGGCAGCTGCCAGCCACAGTTGCCCAGCTCATAGCCTGTCAGCTGGCCCAATGGGCGGGTGGTGACGAAGTCAGGGCTAGCACAGTACACCTGTAGCAGGGCTTCTGGCGTGTGATCCTGTAGCCAGAGGCGCAGGTAGGTGAGGCTGCAGTCACAATGCCAGGGGTTCTGTGTCACATCGAGGCTCCACAGCTGGGGTAGATGGTCAAAGGCGCCTGGTGGCACAGAACGCAAGCTGTTGTTGGCCAGCAGGAGCTGGCGAGTGTGAGCTGGTAGCACAGGCAGGGCTGTGAGCCCCTGCCCCTTGCAGTTCACTCTCAGCCCCATGGTTTCCAAGATCTGGCAGGTGCAGGGTATGGGGCAGCCCTGGGTGGCTGTGGTCACAGGCCAGAGAAAAAACAGGAGCCCCCAGGCAAGCATCAGGCAGGCAGGCTGTGGGTAGAGCAATGAGAGGAGGACCTGTCAGCCTGTACCCTACCCCAAGGCCAGCAATACCTGAGCTAGACAAGGGTGTACACCTCCTTCCCAGGCCTCTGTGGGGTGCACGGTGCAACTCAGGAAAGGTGGTAGGGAGGGGCGGGGTCTGCCTGGTCCCTGGCAAAGTTCCCAGCCCTGCTCAGATGGGTGAGCAGGAGACTGCTAAGGGACTCCAGTCCTAGTCCCTGGCAGGCTATAAATTTTCCTCCTCTAGAAATATGGAAATGGGCTGTGGGGCTTACCCCCAAGAGGTGCACTGGGAGCACGAAGAGATGGTAATTGCTTAAAGTCTTCTATTCCACAGAGACCAGGAAAGTTCCTCCCAGGCTGTACCAAGCTCCCACCTGAGCCTGGGGTCAGGCCAGGGGATATACTCTACACTGTGGCCACTCTCCCATGATGCCTGATGCAAAAAATTGCAGTGGAAAGTTGCCAGGTGGCAGCAGGAAAGGGAGCTCACAGGGACCCATCTAGAAAGCCACATATCTAGGCTAATGCTCAGAGCTGGAAAATGGAGGCCCACGGAGGGAAAGCACTTTCCAGGATCATCCAGCCGTCCATACCAGGGTCTGAACTCAGGTAAATGTCTCATAACCATCTGGTTCTGCCTCGTTTGCCTTCCCTCTAGGCTTAAAAGTAGAGACTATTTCCCCTTCTCAACTGTGCTCTGCTGCTAAGGCCCAACCCACAGCAGGCTTCAGGGAGTGTTCAATGAATGATTCACGAATCTTGGCGCAAACCCCCCTCCCCCATCTTTTAGGAGAGAGAGGACAGAGGTGTCTGCTCTCTGCCAGCCTAGTTGGAGAGGCCATTGAGCAGGAGGTCATGCTGTGTATAAGGAGGCCACTCACCTGTGAGGCCTTGGTTGAGGCACACCTTTTGTTGTCTGGCATCGTCTGGGTTGAGGCTGTTTTGGTGCTGTGGGAGCCACGTTGCTGGAGCTGGCAGCGGTGGCTAGGCTGCTGCTTGTGTGGAGGAAGGAAGTGATGAAAATAGCATGGCTTATCCCCCAAGTGCAGCACTTTCTAGAGGATACCCTGAGATGAGTGACAGTTGGCTGTAAGTTTTCCTATTTGATAAATGTGGAAACAGCCTGTGGGGCTTACTTCCTGGAGGTGTGGGCTGGGAGTGAGAAGAGCGGGTGAAGGCTTAGTCTTCCATTCCTCTGAAGACCAGGAGAGACCCTCCTTTTGGTCCCAGGGTGTCTCTAGTATCTGTTGGGACATTACTCATTCTTTTTTCTAATGAAAGCTGCAGGTTTGCAGCTCAAAACCTCTCAGAGGTAAAGTCAACTGCAGGTTAAGATCATTATTTGCCTCATGTTTACTTTCATAGCTACCTTTCACTCATGAGTATGATAGCATTCTTTTATTTGTGATAGTGGCATAATGTTCCCTTTAAAAAATAAATGTATTTTGGGGGCTGTGGGGATGGCTCAGTGGTTAAGATTCCTGGATGCTCTTGTAGAGGACTTGGGTTTGATTCCCAGCCCCCACATGGCAGCTAACACTGTCCATAACTCCAGTTCCAGGGGATTTGACACTCTCTTCTGACCTCCGTGGGCATTTCACAACAGGGGTGCAGCACTTATACACCATGTAGGCAATATACTCACACACATAAAATGAAAATAATAAATTAAAAATGTATTTTTAATTTAATTAATGCTTTAAGTATTATAACATTAATAAAAATCAGATCTAATGATGAAATTTAATCCTTATGAAATTAAAATACAAATATGCACATTTTACAATAAATAATAGAAATTCTACAATTGTGGGACTATATTAGCCTAGTCAGTTGATACTTTGTAGATGGCAGAATTCATGCACACAGAAGGGAGGTGGCCATGACCTTGGAATTCTGGGCTGGAGCCACTTTGGGATTACCCAGAGGCATTTCAGTGCAAATACAGACTCCTCCATCAGAATAGCCCAGGCTGTGGGATGCTGAGGCTGGAAGCTCCTGGGGTCATGGGAGGAAGGATGGACCACTAGGGAGAGGAAGGACCCCTGGCCAACCCCTTGGTCACTCTTGATGTTGGCCAAAATCATCAAATACAGGAAGAGGATCTTGGGTCTTGGGTCTGGTCTGGAGACACTCAAAAGGGTTTAGAGGTAGAGAGGGACGCTAAGGCTGGGATCAGCAGTGCCATCAGCCTAGGTCACACTAGATTTTGTCCAGCAGGGCAGCTCTCATGCAGGCTGAGAGAGGCCACCAAGCTGCACCTCTGCTGGTTCTTAAGCAAGCTCCATGCACTACTGGCCAGGAGGAGTCAGGGCACAGGATAGCCCCTCTTCTTATTTGTACCACACACCTTCCCCTACCCCTGATAAACTAGCTTCTATCCTGCCAGGTGACTAGGCCTTTGGGAGAGGAGTAGGTCTCCCTCTAGGTCCATAGGGACCTCCTGTTCTCTCCCCAGCCTCTATCCAGTTCTGCTTTCTTTGGAGGACCTGGACAATCACAGATCCCACAGCAACTGAGTGCTGATTCCCTAGGGCCAGCTTCACTAACTCTCTGACTCAGAGAGAGTGCCTGAGGTCACAGCTGCCTGCAGCCTATTTGTACCTGTGTAGTCACTGGAAGGTTGTTGCCAGGACTCTGTCCTTGGTTGGAGGCCTCAGTCTCCATGATCTTTTCCTCCCTTCCTGGTAGAGCCATGGGCGTCTAGAATCTTCACTGCCCTGCCCATCTTCAGGGCAGCTAATCCCTCCCTTAAGGTGGGGCTAGAGTCTCTTGGTGAGTGGGTTCTCACAGCCCCCAAGCTGTGTCCTGACCAGGACTGTGTGGCCCATGCTATCTTCTACCCAGGTTCATGAGATTTCCTCATTTTTAGCAGATAAAACTTATAACAACAAAAACCCACACAAATTATTTTTATCATGTAAAAATTGGGAAGTTTAAAAGAATAGGAAGAAGAAAAAAAATTCCTGAACTCCAACATTAAATAAGAATGCCTTTTGGGGCTGGAGAGATGGCTCAGTGGTTAAGAACACTGGTTATTCTTGCAGAAGACCCAGGTTTGAATCTTAGCACCCACACGGCAGCTAACAACTGTCTGTAACTCCAGTCCCAGGGGCTCTGACAGCCTCTTCTGACCTCCGTGGGCAGTGCATGAACGGGTGCACTTATCTACATGAAGGCAATACACGCACACACATAAAATAAAAATAAAATAAAATAAAATAAAAGAATGCCTTTTGGGGGCTGGAGAGCAGGCTCAGCAATTAAGAGAACTGGCTGCTCTTGCAGAGGACTCAGGTTTGGTTCCCAGCACCCACATGGTGGCTAATAACTGTTGGTAACTCCATTCCAGGGGATCTGACGCCCCCTTCTGACTTTCAATGGCATTGCATGGCACAGATGCACTTGTGTACATGCAGGCAATACACACATATTCTATCCTCTGCAGGCATTGCATGACACAGGTGTACTTACCTACATGCAGGCAATACACGCATACATATAAAATTAAAATAAAAAAATTAGAAAAAAAGAATGCCTTTTGGAGGGCTGAGGGTATAGCTCAATGGTAGAGTGTTTGCCTAACATGTGCAAGGTCCTGGGTTTAGAGTCCCAGGACATATATATACACACACAAGTATTTTCTTACTCAGATAGGATTATCCAGAGACTACACTGTCCTAGAGCTTCCCTTTCCCACTTTTGACTGAACCCACATCTATGCTGCTGTCATTCATGGAGGCTCAGCACCCGCTGTATGCTGTGGCTTCCCTAAGGAATCTCTTATCGCAGTTGTACAGGGCCTTTGTGGTACTGAGCTGGATCAGAGGACCCCTCCCTTCCTGGGGCCCTGGGACAGGAGGTGAGCTCTGTTAAGACTATAAACTGCTAAATGCTATTAAAATTGTTGGTTCTGTTTGGCTTTTGTAAGACTCCTCGGTAAATATCTTTTCAATGCTTTTTGTAAATGATTCTAAGAGTCAAGAGCTCCTTGACAGATCCTATTCCTAACAGCTTGGGCTGAGGACTGCCAGCAGCTCCTCTTTTCTAGTTGGTCTTGTCTGCTCTCAGAGCGTTCCTGCTGAGCTGAAAGCACCCTGTGCATGCCTCGAGAAAGCTGCACTTAACCACAGCTGCTTTCTGCCAAAATACAACTCTGGCTTGCACTAGTTCCTGTGAATTCTAGCCACCATTTTTACCTATGTCAGAGAGAGAGAGAGAGAGAGAGAGAGAGAGAGAGAGAGAGAGAGAGAGAGAGAGCTGGCTTCAAACTCCTTGTGTAACTGAGGAAGACCTGAACTAATCCTCCTGCCTTTACTTCCCAATGGTTAAGTTATAGGTATGCGTCTCTATGCCCTGCTCAGAGAAGTTACCCCACCCCCGCCCTGCTTCATTCTTTCTCAGGATTGCTTTTACTATTCTGGCTCTTTTGTGGCTCTATATGAATTTCAGTATTGTTTTTTTCTATTTCTGTGAAGGAAGTCATTGATATTTGGATGGGAATTGTATTGATTCTATAGGTTATTTTAACTAGTATGGTCATTTTAGCATTATTCATTCTTTTGATCTATGAACATGGGTTATCTTTCCATTTTTTGTGTGTCATCTGTGATTTCCTTCCTTTCTTCTTTCCCTCCCTCCCTCCCTTCCTCCCTCCTTCCTTCCTTTCTATGTGTGGAGGTCATAGGACAACTTGCAGGAGTCAATTCTTTCCTTCCTTCCTTCCTTCCTTCCTTCCTTCCTTCCTTCCTTCCTTCCTCCCTCCCTCCCTCCCTCCCTCCC